ATTATATTTTGCATTTTTTTGCCTTAAATCTCTTCTCTAATTTTTTGTCGTAACAGGTTTTAAGAAAACAAAATTCTGCACTAAATGAGCTATTTTTCAAGTAGAATACTTAAAGAACAGCTGAGTTATACATACGATCTTTATCTCGCGCAGTAGAAATAATGTAGTTTTTCGTTTAATAATTGTAGTTTTTCAAGCTCTTTCTAAGTTTTGTAACTCATCTAAGATCATTAAAACTTTTTCAAGTAAACAGAAATGTATAGCAGACTTCGCTCTATCTAACGGTAAAAGATTATTTTCTTATCTCTTTTCTTTTGAGAGATAATAAGCTCGCAAGAGAAACTTCTTACAGTGTCCGAATACTGCTTACACACACTGTATGTAGAAAATGTGTTGTTTCAAGTCCTTTCAATCCAGTCACCCGACGACCCTTCGATGATAAAGTGAACTCGATTAGATCAGGTTATTGAGGGGTCGTCAGATAACTGTATTAAAAGGACTCTTGAAAAAACACATTTTCTACATACAGTATATGTAAGAAGTAATTACCTGATCTAATCGACTTCACTTTATTATAAATACTAGATAATATCGTACAGGTGTTGTTTTTTCGTGGAGACATAAGCGTCGCCGCAAATACTATGAAGAAAAACGACCTACACAGTGTAAGAAGTAATTACCTGATCTAATCGACTTCACTTTATCATAAATACTAAATAATATTTTATAGGTGTTGATTTTTTGTGAAGATATAAGCGTCGTCGCAAATACTATGAAGAAAAACGACCTACACAGTGTAAGAAGTAATCACCTGATCTAATCGACTTCACTTTATCATAAATACTAGATAATATTGTATAGGTGTTGATTTTTTTTCGTTCTATTCTAAACATCTTAAAATCCAGATTTTTCATTCTTAAAATTCCGATAACTCAACAAGAAAAGTTGTTAGAATGGAAAAGATATTAAAAATCGGGTTTTCTAGAAAACTTGAGAGCCTTGATAGCTAGAGAGTTGCAACAAAAATGAAAAGACGCTCAATCGATTTTTCAATTAGTGCTGGAATGGAAAAGGGTTTGTTATCTTTAGTTTTTTATGCTTGACAATATTTCTACGCAAAGCCCCAGAAGGGGCTTACTGCGTCTGTGGTTTTTTCAGTCACATTCTCTGTAAACTAGCTCAACAGTATGACTAAGTGATTTGCAAATAGTTTTTTACACAAATGATTATCAGCATGCGAGACTTTAAGATAGATAAAAGGTGAAATAAAACAACTATTTCGAAAATGTAAAAAACCAGTATTATTACCTATGTAATCTTCTACTGTTAGTATCTATATTGTTAACTATCGTCAAAAAGTAAGTATCATCGCATTGTGTAGAAAGAAAAGAGAAATAATATACACTATTGTCATCAGCATCTGTACAAATACAGTATGTGTGGCAAGCGTTACTCAGAAAACAAGTGACTTGTTATTAAAGTCGTTTCTCTGTTTGCAGACAAGCCATCGTGTGTATAAATAACTCATGAGTCTGATAATAGCATACATATTCCATGTCATATCTGTATAAGAAACAATATTTTTGTCGTTAATTTTTCCTTCTCTCTCTATTTAGCTGTAGCATTCGTGAAAATATATAAAGTTTTTATGATCTGTAAATGTGTATGACTGGGGGAAAGAGAAAGACTTTCGCATTACACAGTAAACACAGAGGGTATTCTTAATATTTCGCTTTTTTTCTTTAAAATATACGGTTATAAATGACATAGTAATAATAACAAATAACGAATTATAAACGATAGTATTTCGCTCGTATTCTTATCTTTATATCTAATATTTCACGTGGACGTAAGTGTGGATATACTCATTCATACAAAGTAAATTTTAAGATAATAAGGATACCAAATAATTTAAGAAGAGTTTCGCCAAGAAAATTAATTTTCTATTCAGAAGCTGATTTCGAGTTTCATATGAGTTCACATAAATGAAAAACTTAAAATGTCTACTTTCAGAATTTGTATTATTCTTCTCGTTCAAAGTGCACCATGTAAGTTTTGGAAGATTTTTCGAGAAATCCAGAAAACTACTATTGTTACTACTGGCCAGTAAAGGATGCATTCCTCGGCATAAAGCAGTCACACATTTTTTCTCCTTGAAAGCCAGGACAAAAGTTTTGGTGATTTTTGAGTTTCGTTCGAAAGCGAAAATCGGGAATTAGTGGACTCTGTTAATAGTTTTTTCAGTTGCTCAACTAGAGTCGCCTGCTGGAAAGCAATGGAAGCAAAAGTCAAAATCTGCTTAACCTTTTATCCCCGACCAGGCATACTGTCCTTTGTACCGTGTAGTTTGGTCACTCCAGTAACCATTGGGGGAGAACGACATAAAAAGTTATTTTTTTCGAACATGTCGTTTTTGATACATATGTAATACTTCTTGACATAGTTAAGTAAACAATTGACATTATTTATAAATACAAACGCTGTTTGTCATTATTGGACATGGGTGAGACGGACTCAGCTCGATTTTTTTTCGGAAGGATGGAAACCAGAACCTTAACTGTGCGCAGTTGTCAATAAGTATTGCGTATATAGCAAAAACAACATGTAAGGAAAAAAACGTCTCATGTCGTTTCCTTTCCCCCCCTCCCCCCCAATAACCAGAGTGACCATTGCATGGTTTATCACCTCTTAGCTACCTAGCTTTTGTGAAACTTTCGAAAGGCATTGATATGACTAGTAGACATTATCTTCGATATATATCACAAAATACGCCCCCAAGATGTATCTTGCTTGTTGGTTGAAAAATAATTCTTAAAAAAATTCAACCTTCGTGCTTTTTTTCAAACTGACCGATTTTGTAACTCATTGTTTTCGGAGGTGAGCAACAAAACAAAATATTCTTTTAATCAATCGATAGCTTATGGAATTCCCAAAGTTTTTGAATTCCATGCTTCCTTTATCTTTTACAATCTTACAACAAATGATCGGTCCAGTGACCAAGGAGGGGATAAAGGGTTAAGTTAGTTTGCAGATTTGAGTATCTAATCTAGTTTAAAACAAATCCGGCCTGTTACTAAAGTCAAGACAAATATACTGTGATGGAGACCATATTTTGATTTAACACTGGAAGCTCTTGAACGATTCAACATGTTAAACTGGAAAGTTTTTCATAATTTATTAAGATAAAACAAACATAGAAGGTAACCATAGACGTCAAAAGGATTTATTTCGACAGTCATTTTACCCTTAGAATATGTTCCAGGAGTCAAGCGATATGCACTGATTTTGACTTTCTCTTCCTATGATGCTTTTTTTTTTTGTAAGTCAGAAAGTCAGAAGATTAGAATATGGGATAATAAAAGCATAGAGAGACGAAGGAGTGAGAAGATTAGAAAGTCACAAAATTTTTACAGTAGAAGAACAGAAAGACAGAAGTTCATATGAAACAACCTTACAAGTATCGCAGGGAAGGGGCGTTTTGGTATGACGAGAGTGAATCACAGAAAAGAAACTGAGAAAATCAGAAATAAGTTAGAGGTATGTGGCCTATAAGGCAGTTTGACTCGCGGAATAAATTTTAAACAGCTGTCAAGATAGCATACTTAGACTGAGAGCCGAATTTGCCTTTATATTTTTGTAATTACTATCCATTTCAAAAAAGAACGGACTTGGTTGCTTTTTGAATAACTCAGGAACGTTAGTAGCTAGCGAGTTCGGATCTTCGCCGTCGAATTGACGACATCTGGGGGCATCCGGGCATGTACTAATGCTCGGGCTTGCCAAGATCTTTGAGGGATTTTCAGAACGTCTCTGGAAAACCACTCTCGCGCGAGTTTGAAATTAAAATTCTTCTGAGTGGGTATGGTGTGCCATGCTGTCCTCTACAAAACTGCACAAGGCTCAGCTCGCTAGCTTGTTCCGTTCAAGAGCGATGAGCATTTTGCCGAGAGCTCCGATTTGGACCAGTTGATCTTGGATCGCCCTAAAGGTCGGCAATGTTGAGTCGTGTGATGATGTTTATTTTTGGTTTCGAACCGATCTAAAGTCACTGTATCAAGATTTTGTAATTCTAGCATTCTGCCGCTATGTTACGTATAGAGCGGATAGTTTGGAAATCTTGATACAGTGACTTTAGATCGGTTTGAAACCAAAAATAAACATCACCACACGACTCAACATGGCCGATTACTCCTATCTTGATTCATTTTAGGGCGATTCAAGATCAACTGGTCCAAATCGGAGCTCTCGGCAAAATGCTTATCGCTCTTGAACGGAACAAGCTAGCAAGCTGAGCCTTGTGTAGTTTTGTAGAGGACAGTATGGCACACCATACCCACTCAGAAGAATTTTAATTTCAAACTCGCACGAGGATGGCTTTCCAGAGACGTTCTGGAAATCCCTCAAAGATCTCGGCAAGCCCTAGCATTAGTACATGCCCGGATGCCCCCAGATGTCGTCAATTCGACGGCGAAGATCCGAACTCGCTAGCTACTAACGTTCCTGAGTTATTCAAAAAAGCAACCGAGTCCATTCTTTTTTGAAATAGATAGTAATGTCTCCTTTATTACTGGTCTTTATCAAAACAATCATTTGTTCCTTATATGTGACCTACAGATTTTGTAAGTTTATCATCAGCAACTTTCACAAAGAAGCGTATATCCACTGTTTAAATCGGCGAAGTTTCGTCTATGAATATGTGTATATATTGTATCTTATCAATATGACAAGCGTTTCATCAATCTATTACACAAATACTTCTAAAAAGTGATATTGCATTATAAATACATTTGTGATATTTCATATTGCCATTTAAACATGTAGCTATTATGTATTTTTCAGAAAAAACTATTCCGCCTATGCAGATGGCAACAATCTATACTCTTGTTTTTTTTTAATTTTACGTATATATTCTGTGAAGAAAAACTCTATTGGTCAATTAGTATTTTCGTCTCATGGCGAACACACACAAATATATTCATATCTAAAGCTTTCATCGTTAAATGCAATCAACAAAACATTCTGTTGCTGATATTAATAAACAATACGATGACATTAATAATAACAACAACTTTCAACCATTAACCATTAATAACCATGTATCAGATAATACTGCACAGAATAACACTACAAGTGTAACATTTAATAACAATCAAATATATGCACAGAACATGTCTTCTATTCAAATGAAATCACCATCAGTTGAAAACCCATCATCACCTCTAATATCGCCTCATTTCTTTTCAAAACCTAGTCATGCAAATAATCATGTCAGCATGTTACTTTTCTCTAATCCCCTATTGCGTCAAACAACGACAACAGTAAATACCTGTACAGTAAACAACAAACTTCCTCATAATACTAATGTAGCGCTTCATCGTCGAGAAACAAGACGTCGTATATTATTTCATAGTGAACAACCAAATGTTACCGTTCCTGGTACAACAACAACGTATTTAGCGGCCAATACATTAACACTAGCCCTGGCAAGCCTTCAATTAACCGAACCGTCGACAGAACAACTAGTCGCTCATATTCCCAATCTTGTGTTTAGTAATTTACATGAATTATGTGTAGAATCTGAACGAAAATCTCGTGGAATTTTATTATTTCTTGATGTAAGTGGTTTTACGGCATTAACTGAAACCTATAGTCATCATGCTCATAAAGGCATTAATCAATTAACACACACATTGAATGTTTATTTCGATAAATTAGTATTAGAAATACTTGATTCAGATGGTGATATATATAAATTTGCTGGTGATGCAATATTAGCATTATGGCAGACGTCAATCGATGACTGTGCTGAAAATGAAGAGAATATATTACTGATGTGTGAAAAAGCATTAAATTGTGCCATTAATTTACAAGCAAAATGTGGTCAATATCAAACAGATGTGGGCGTTGTTTTACAAGTTAAAGTCGCTTTAGCATATGGTTCATTGGCGATGATATTCGTCGGTAATGATGAATTTAAACACTATATAATGACAGGTGAAGTAGTTAAACAAGTAAATGAATGTGAACATGAATGTGTCCCGGGCGATATCACTATTGCCAAATCAATGTATGAAAAATTATCTCGATCAACAAAATTACTTGATAAATATAATCTTGCTCCAAAAGGAGATAAAGGAAGTATGTCTGTTAAATATGATAAATTAATTAATACCGATACTGACTTGGATGCTGCTGTGACCGATAACGAAGATGATAGTGAAATTATTATGAATAATGGCAAAATTTCACAGCGAACATCAGTTGATCTAACACAGGATGAAAATACTAAACAAAAATCGTTAAATTCACTTCAATCACAATCACATGCAACGGTAAATAATCTCATAAATTTTCTATCGCAATATATCAGCAGGTGGAACTTATGATCAGTTTTATTCTAGTAGTACGAATTTTACATGCGAGGTAATCGGAAAAGGATATACTTTGAAATACTTATCTGTTCATTATTGATCAGTATTCCTACAAACTCGAAATACATTGATTTAACTTTTTTCCTTTTATTACAGCAAAAATCCAATGAAATCAATCACAATTCTAATACAACTGCTGATGATATATCAGAAACACACGACGATTATATACAAAATCAAAAATTCCATTTTCAACATCGTCGACATTCAATAACTGAATCCACAGCAAATTTAGGATCATTAATAAAAACATTTATAATCCGTTGTGTCTTATTAAAAATTGAGCATAATCAATCACTAGATTATTTATCCGAGTTAAGACGTGTAACAATATCATTTATTCATTTGGACATAAGTGACGATAATCAAACAGATTTATGTTCAAAAGTTCAAAGTGTATTCATTAAAATATATGAATCGACAA